AGTTTTAATGATAAATTGCATAAATTATTTGTACTACTCAGGACATTTTGCAAATTTATCGAAAAGCTTTACAAACATACTCACAACAGTCCCATGAAGGTGTTTTATTTCTCTTTTACAGATGGGTAAAACTGAGCAACTGAGTTCTATGTGACTTACTCTAAATCACAAGACAGTCTGTTAGAGCAGAGAATTAGGATCCTGGAATCCTGACACCGAATCTCTTGTTCTAACTAGACCAAACTGCCTCCCTAGTAATCCTTGGTGTCTGATTGTGCACTCCTTCTGCCGACAAATCTCCCACTGAATACAAGGGGAGTTTTGCCTGAATAAGGACTGCAGGGTCAGGCCCTTAGTTTGTCAAAATTGTATATACAGACATTTTTCTATATTTTGTGTACACACACACACACACACACACACACACTTAAAAAAAACAGGGTAAGTTGAAAAGGTGAAATTAATGTTTTTTAGAGAAAACTTAAGTTACACCAAAGTCATACATTAAAAATGAAAACTAAAAGGAAGAAATGCAAGCAATGGCTCCCTACCCGTTAAAAATGTGCTGAATGAGGGGGTGAGCAGTCTTCATATACACATCCTGATTGGTACATGCCTCCCCAAAGACTTCATCAAAATAAAAAACATGCTGAAAAATAAATGTGATTTTTATACGAAAAGAAATTTCTCTCAGTTCTCCTTTACCCCATAATGTGTAGCACATGCTATGGGCCTGATCCAAAGCTAACTAAAGTCAACCGAAGTCTTTCCATTGACTTCAGGAGGCTTTGGAGCTGGGCCTAAGTGACCAACTAAAACTCACTTTTCAGCAGCATGCAGCCACAACCCACCAAGAAACAGAATATGCAAGTAGAAAATTAAGAGAAGATTCTGTGTCCCCCCGCCCCATCATCTTCAAGCAGAACGTACAGCAGCCAAGAAACAAAAGCACGAGAGTAACTTAAAAAGAAAATTAATCTATTCCTGAAATGAACCAACCCACAGCAACACAGTATGGTTATATAGTCGAGAGGATCAAAATCAGGTCATAGATCCATTGTGAACTATTCCACACTCTTCAAATGCTTAGTGTTGGAGAGGATTACTCTACCCGCATGCAACGCCTG